CAGTTAAAGATATCTCCTGTTTTGGTCGGTGAAAACACCACTTGGTATTGTGGTAAGGCAGACAACAATAAAAAAAAACTTCAGTTTGAGCGTTTCTTCTCCATCCATGTAAGCAGAAAGATTGAATTATTTTCTATTTGATAGTATTATAATTAAAGCCCTAAAATTATTTAACAATAGTACTTTAAGTAAGAGATATATTTAAATTATGTCTGCTGATACATACAGCGGATGACTTATGATTGAGCTGTTATTGTTAAAAACTAACCCGATTGTTCTATATTTATAAACATTACCTCAATCTTCTTCTTCTTCGTTCTTAATTTTAGTGTTGGAAGGGATACGTGTCAACTGGTTATGCGCCATTCATTGACTCCGCTTTCAGCCTGCTTTTCTTATTGGATTTGCTTCCATAGCCTTTGTCCAACCAAGAACTAACTACAAGGCAGCAGTTGTTTGATTTTCGAGTTGTCTCCCCTAGAAGAGTTGCTGTCCCCAGCCTACGAGCCTCATCTGCTCGAGGGTTCGAACTCGAGACTTTTCGCTTTAGAAACCATGAGTTTTACCGACTCGACCACGCCGACCATAATCATTCCTAAAAATAAAAATATGAAAAACGTGCCTACATTAACAAGTGTCTGTCTTAAACTATGAAATATAACACAACCAATCGACAGTGTCTGAACATTTGGATATAATGGAAATACACGCATTATTTGAGAAACGTTTAGACTTCTTAGGTTTTTTCAGTAAATGTTTTTTAACTATCTCTAGAACATAGAAACTAAAGGAACTGGACATAGAGCTGACCAAACTATACCACTGTATATCAATCTTATTGACACAGTATAAACGTGATGATATCAGCTGTGTAAGATAGGAGATAAACGCATTCTTAAAATAAATAAACGTAAAATCGACCTCTCTGATATTCGAAGTCTCTTGTCCGTTTAAAAGTAGCGAAAGGCAATTAAGTGGCATTAGTAACACCAAGACAATTAGCTAGACATTAAAATACATGACAACAAATTAATATTGTACGACAATCTATCTCATATGCAAACACAAATAGTTGAGACTTAAAAGAAAAAATGTGTACAAATATAAGCAACTTATTTTATAAAAGTCACACATTAACGACACTTTGTGGATGAGCAAAATAATATTTCTATATATCTGTACTTCTAGATACAACTTGCAACAGCAAACAAGTCTCGTATTTTAACTGTAGAATTTGAGCTGATATTAGTTTCTAAGTTAACACACGGAGATACTTAAAAGTGACAAAACGAAACTTAAGTAAGTATTAAATTTGTTGTGTAAACAAAAAAAAAATGTCTTCATTATATGGCTTAATTAAACAACAATACATTTCTTATGTAAACAAAACATTTGTTCATTATATATGGCTTATACAATTATTTTTTAAAGACATGTATTTGGTTTCTTTTTAATGTGCGAATTATTTGGAAAAGTTTATTAAATTGTTCTTTATACATTTATTATTTTACAGTAAAAAGAAAACAAAACTTCTTCATATATTGGATTTTCCTATATATTACATTTTCCTGTTCTAAGAACAGATATTTCCCATCGAATAGCAGCCATATTTGTTTACATGTATGGATCGTAGCTTCAGCGATATAAAGGTAATGTTTTGATGTCTTTGTGAAAGTAATCTTTTCAGATCTGACGGGCAATAGGGATGTAGAAACATTTTATTCTGTCCCCATAACATCGACTTATGAAAAGATAGTGTCGTTAGTTATGTCTCCAAACACTTAATTAAGTGTGATTATACCATGCGTATTATATTTAGGAAAATTCTAATTATAGTATTGATTACGTTTAGAGACAAATGTTACGTTTAAGATTGGCGCTAAGATTCTGCCGAGTAAAAAGGCACTGTTCTTATTTCCTCTCGAATGTGAGAGGAAATTGTTGAACTCATGCGGTTTAGGTCAAACACTGTATTTTATTTCATGGTCTCCATCCAATTAACATTTCATCACTATCAGCACTGTTGTTCCACTGGTCACCTCACTCATACACACCAGTTCACACACCTATCTCTAACACAACCTACACATATATAAAGGGACTCCACTATCCCTCTCTCTCCCTCTCTCTCCCTCTCTCTCTCTCTCTCTCTCTCTCTCTCTCTCTCTCTCTCGATTCTTAGTGCCTATATATAAATATCTTTTTAGACTTCCACGTCAAAGTATATATATATATACATATATATATATATTTATATATATATATATATATATATATATATATATATATATATATATATATATATATATATATATATACGCCATGAGAAAAAAAACACGCCTCTTCATAAAATATTAAATTGTTTTCCTAGACTATCCCTACCTCTATGTATAACCCTAAGCCTAACCCTAAGTAAGATCTAATGCATTAAAACATAATATCAGTGTCATTTGCAATAGTAACACACAAAATAATGCACACTTAAAACAGATTTTGAACCCAAAAACAATACGTGATAGCCACCACATTATCGATTCTGCCGCACAACGATTGAAACAATGTGTAAAAAATAATAATGTAAATGAAACAAACCTCTCTTTAAAATTTAAAACCAACACTTCCGTTTAAAATTTCATAAATTATGTATGCCTTTAAAAATTTAAATAAAAGCTAAATATAGAGAACGGATTTGAGAGGATATAAACATGGTGGAACTCAAAATGAAACAATTTATTTTTTTTTCTTTTAGATGTCCAATCCTTCAAAGAAACATTTAAATACCTTGCTTCAACTTTTTGAAGAGTCTTGTTTTCATCTACAGAGTAGCCTCAGTGATTTCGAACTGCAGGTAAATATAACAAATGCCTATATGAAAATGATATTTGTATTTGATGTGCTTGTTTAACGATAAAAAATGAACTATAAAATATCAACTTACGAACTTTAGACTTCGCATTAAGTAGACAAACAGCAACACAAATAATATTGTATGTATGTTAAGTGCTAAACATTTTACTTAGAAATTTACAACATTTAGGCTCGAAAAATGATATAGTATATAAATTATTTTGTATTAATATCAGTATATTTTTTTGCAAGCAATGTTAAAGACAAATTACAGACATTTTTAAAATCATTGTATATTAGAAAATTGTATAGTAAATTTATTGTTTCATGATAAATGTAAGTCTAAGTAGTTACTCTAATATAATGGATTTTATAGATAAAAACAAAGACAAAAGAATGTCTAGGCAACACATCTGCAAACTATAGGTCATTCAAAGAAGCGATCGCGATGGTGACAACAGCACAAAATGCAGTACTGGAACATTCGGATATGCTGAATGGTATGGATTTGTATCTTCGTGAATATAATTCTGTTCTAATTGTATCTTACTTAACGCATTTATGTAAATACCAATATATAATATATAATACTATTAATAATTGTACTGAAACTATATATATATATATATATATATATATATATATATATATATATATATATATATATATATACTATATAAATATATATATATATATTTATTTATTTATTTATTTATTGATTGATATATATATATATATATATATATATATATATATATATATATATATATATATATATATATCTATATCTATATCTATATCTATATCTATCTATCTATCTATCTATATATATATATATATATATATATATATATATATATATATATATATATATATATGTATTAATCTTATTTTGATCATATTATGAATTTGAAATATTTAGACAAAAGTGTGATCATAATGATGTGTAATTAAAATATACATAAGTCCATTAAGTTTTATGATCAAACTACATCGAACACTTATTATCATATATTATTTATCAATAATTAATATATGTATATATATTTTTTTTGTAATCTTCACTGAGATCATTTCTGTGTGCACATTCTTACTAGAATTCAATGAGTTGTATCTTCCTGAAAAGGAAACAGAGGATGAGCATAAAATAAAAGACCAAGACTATAATATAAGTAAATAATCAATATGTATAACAATTTACAAAAATAATTATCCGAAGGTGTCAATTTTAGCTAGAATAGCTTATTTTTATTTACTCATTTATTAATTTTATTTTTAAATTTACACTTTTCTTTCATTATTGTGTTCTTTTTTAAAACTATTTACGTATAACTGACAGTGAATCCAGATTTACTCATCAGACTTGAACATATTGAAACAACATGTGCTGCTTTCCAAGAGACAAAACAAAAAACTGAGGACGACATAGCAGAGCTAAAACAATGGAGAGACAACTATTTACGAGAACAAAATGACTCGGAGTTAAAAATCGAAAAAACGTCTAATAAACAAAAACAGAATTTCAAAAACATGAGAAAGCAATTAATGGAACAAGATAAAAAAAATCGAGGAAATTATTAAACAAAAAATAAATTTCGAAGAAAGAGAATCCACTACAAAGAAAACATTACAGAAATTGTCTCTAGATATAAAAGAACACGAAAATAATCTACAAAAGTTAAATGAAAATATGCAAGTTATAACTGATAATTTTACACAAGAAATAAAACAGCATACTGATTTAATCAATAATTTACAAGAAGACAAACAAAATATTCAGAACACACAAAACAAATTGGACAATTTGATTTCTAAGGTAATACATTATCATTAATTTGAATTAAGAGAGCTAAATATTTTGTTTCGTAGATAAATAAACCATATATTTAAACTGCTATTATAAAACATGTAAGTGCCCCTTTAAAATACAGGCAATTATACACAAGAAGTAAATGTCATTCTCATTTCTATAAGATTTATAAGCTAGAAAATAGGAGATATTATTTCTTAGATATTGTAACATTAAAATATTTGTTTTCGCTTATCAAATATTTTAAACTGCCATCATTTTAATTACATTTCAGTTTCAATATTTGTAAATATGTTTGCAACAGGCAATTAACTTTATTTTGTAATTTAATTAGCAAACCGTGATGAGTAAAACCCTACAGCAAAGATTGTCTCACATTGACCAATTGCTTCAAATAATGAATCAGAAGTCTGAGTCTAGAGAGGAAAAACTGAAGCAGGTAAAAAAAAAATATGTAAAAATTAAACTGTTTTTATTAGCACACTATACAATTTCTGCAATGCTGATCAACTTTATCTTTCCATTCGTCTTATTGTGGCAATGCTGCCGTATCTATTTTAATAAACCCCACAATTCAGAACTGCGTACCCATTTCAACGCTGTAAAAATGTGTTTACTCACTAAATTCTAAAACCCCAACGTAATTACAAATTGTATAACAATAATTGTGTAAACAATACTTTAGATGCCTTGAGCTGTGTAACTTTTTACTTTCTCGTACATACGAAATATAGAGAAAGTCTTTTAATCGTGCAAAAAAAAAACGAGATTTTCACAAATCTCGACGTTTTACACCTCACTGATACGGAAAAACATAATTTTGCAATCTTGTCCGTATGTCTGTGTGTCAGTGTGTGTGTCTGTGTGTCTGTGTGTAAACACGATAACATGAGTGCCGTTACAGCTAGGTTGATGAAATTTCATAATTATATAAGCATTTTATCAAAATCGTAGATTCTGATAAACTTTTGAGCGATTTCCGATAAACGTTAGTCGTACTTTTTCTACTTTGAATTTTTCAAAAGCCTATAACTTGAGTACTATTTTAGATAGATAAATGAAATTTCACATGTAAGTAAACGATCTAATTTTCTACCTTCTATCAAATTTTGAGTCATTTCCGTTGATCGGAAGTACTAATTTACGCTACTTTCGATTTCTCAAAAATCGCATGTGAATTTATAAAGTACTAATAATATTGCGCACTATTATGCACATTATGTTTTGGCGTTCGCTTGGTGCGCAATTCTTTTTTCTACGAGATTATTTTCTATTTTTAAATTTTAAGTAATTAATTAAAAATCATTTCTATATACCGAGTTTTATAAGAATATTCGTGAAAGTTTAGGGGAGATCACTCCCGGTTTATTTTTTAAAGTAACGCAATAATTAGTTTTAGTCAATACTTTTTTTACACACTTACAAAGACAATTTTACACACACACACACACCTACACATCTGCTAAATATAGTGTGTGGCAACAGGGGAGATGAGAGACAATAAAAAGATTGGAAGAATTACAATGTGAGGAAATGTCTTTAAAATGGGTAGTTGGTCGATTTCTTTTTTTTTTTTTTCAGATTGATGTTCTTCAAAAGAGTGTTTTAAAGTTAACAGGAGACATTCATGCGCTAGGTATGTCACAAACGACGTTAATATATATATATATATATATATATATATATATATATATATATATATATATATATATATATATGAATATATATATATATATATATAAAGCAATGTATGTGTGAGTGTGTCTCTGTGTGTGTGTGTGTCTTTTACGCATTACCACACCTCTTATCACAACGCAGTTGAACTTTGGGAAGCTGTTAAGAATATTCCTGAGGAGGTTTCTGCGAAAAAAAAAATTCAAATTTGCAAGGGTGGCGACCCGGCAGGTCGCTATTTATTTTTTCTCTATATACGGCATATAAAAAACAAGAGTCAATTGCAGATTCACACTGTTCATCCAATCGCCGTCAAACTTTGGGGAGTTGATTAGAGCAATACAGGGAAGGGTTCTGTAAAAAAAAATCATTTTAAATTTCGCAAGGTGGGCGCCACGGGAGGGTGCGATTTTCCTCTATATTCGGTATATAAAAATAATAAAAGTGAATTGCAGTGACACCGTTCACACGATCGCAATGAAACTTTGGGAAGATGTTAAGAATATTCCTGGGGAGGTTTCTGTTTAAAATACATTTTCAAATTCTTTGGGGTGGCGCTCTGGTAGGGCGCGATTTGTTTTCTCTTTATATACAGTATATAAAAAATAAGAGTCAATTGCAGATTCACACTGTTCATCCAATCACCGTCAAACTTTGGGGAGTTGATTAGAGCTATTTGGGGAAGGGTTCTGTAAAAAATCATTTTTAATTTCGTAAGGGCGGCGCCACGGGAGGGTGCGATTTTTCTCTATGTACGGTATATAAAAAAAGTCGATTTTGGTTTGACATCGTTCATCCGATAGCCATGAGACTTTGGGGAGATTTCATTATAACACTTTAGGGAAGGGTTCTGTAAAAAAATATTTTTTTAATTTCGCATGGGCGGCGCCACGGGAGGGTGCGAATTTTCTATATGTGCGGTATATAAAAATAGAAGTCGATTTTGGTTTGATACCGTTCATCTGATAGCCATGAGACTTTGAGGGAGTTGATAAGGACACTCTGGGCAAGTGTTCTGTAAAAAAAAAAATTAATTTCGCAAGGGCGGCGCCACGGGAGGGTGCGATTTTTCTCTACATGTGGTATATAAAAATAATAAAAATAAATTGCAGTGACACTATTCACACAATCGCCACGAAACTTTAAGAAGTTGCTAAGAATATTTCTAGGGCGGGTTCTGCGGAAAAAAAATTCAAATTCGCAGGGCAGCATGGCGCGATTTGTTTTTTCTCTGTATACGGTATATAAAAATAAAAGTCGATTGCGGTTTGACATCGTTCATCCGGTCGCCATCAAACTTTGGGAGTTAACAAGAACACTTCAGGTGAGGTTTCTGTAAAAAAAATCTTTTTTTAATTTCGCCAGGGCTGCGCCACGGGAGGGTGCGATTTTTCTCTATATACGGTATATAAAAATAATAAAAACTATTGCGGTTCGACACAGTTTATCAGTGTGATAGACAATGAATATCATGGGGCGTTACAAACGATCACTAAATTGAATCAGGCGTATCCGCCGGAGTCCTGGTAGGGTGCGATTTGGCTGCAAACAAAAAAATGTAGTTTCGGCCCCAAAAGGCTCACACGCCGCTGAGGGCCATGCAATACGTTTTATTTTAATAATCAGAAAAATTATCCAAGGTTAAACTATTAACTGGGATATTTCTTTTTGTCCTTAAAAAAATCCAAACTGTTTCGTCATTTTGCGAATGATGCAATTGCCATCTATTTTTAGACAATCTAATCAGAAATTGAGATCGAGCATCAAATATTAGACCATTAGTAACGCTAACATATTGCATCAGTGACACTGATGCTTAAAATAATTTTTACGTGTTAATTTTTAGGGAGCAGGGGGCCGTACGCGGTAGTGTAATCGGTGGGGGGGGGGGGGAGGCTCCTGAGAGCGCCACTCTACGTCCCTGACACATGGGCGGTCACCGAAGTGTGTTCTACCACGTTATTTCGGTGAGTTATTAATGTACACTCACGATTTTCAAACGGTATTGTAGGTAAACCTGTGTCCAGATATTTATCATCCAAACGCAGGCATTGTTTACATTTAAATAACTCACTTTTAGAAAACAAGGTCACGAGTTTAAGAATATAGGATTGGCAACGCATGGATGAAACCCTTATTTATTCGTCGGACTTTTTTCTATTCCCGCGGTAACGCGCGGGGTCGGGTACGCTAGTATATATATATATATATATATATATATATATATATATATATATATATATATATATATATATATATATATATATATATATAAAGCAATGTATGTGAGTGTGTTTGTTTGTCCTTTATGCATTACTACACCTCTCATCACGTCGCCGTGAAACTTTGGGAAGTTGTTGAGAATATTCCTGGGGAGGTTTCTGCGAAAACAAAATTTCTAATTCGCAGGGGTGGCGCCCCGGCGGGGCGCGATTTGTTTTTCTCTATATACCGTATATACAAATAATAAAAGTGAATTGGCGTGACACCGTTCACACGATCGCCATGAAACTTTGGGAAGAAGTTGAATTTATTTCTTGGGGAGTTTTCTGCGCTAAAAACATTTTCAAATTTTTAGGGGTGGCGAATATAAAAACAAAAGTCTATTTTGGTTTCACACCAGTCATCCGTGTACCATGAAACTTTGGAGAGGTGATAAGATCACACAATGGTAGGGTTCTGCAAAAAGAAATATTTTTTAATATTGCAAGGGCGGTGCCCCGGGGGAGCGATTTTTTTTCTCTATACACGGTATATAAAAAATAAAACTCGGATGCGGTTCATCCGAGTGCCATGAAACTTTAAGGAGTAGATGAGAATACTCCCGAGAATATTTCTGCGAAAAAAGAAAACTAAAGTTTCTTATGGGCGGCGCCATGTAAGGTACAATTTTCGTCAATACACGGTTTGGCGCCCAAAGCTTTAGAGCGACTATGTTAGCACTTGGCATCCGTTAATGGAGCGTCCTGCATAGCGAGTAAGGGGTACAACTATATTCAGCGATAAAACTACAACAGGCTTCTAATAATAACTTTATTACGCGGGGAAATCCTGTACAGTTTCGTCACCTTGCAAAAGAGGAAAAATAACTTTTTGAATATGAGGAGCCTACTGTAGAGTTTCGTCACTTTGCGAATGATGCAATAAGCATCTATTATTAGACGATCCAGTCAGAAATTGAGATCGAGCATCTTGTTATAGACCATTAGTAACGCTAGCATATTGCATCAGTCACACTGATGTTTAAAACACGTCAAAAACTTTTTTTACGTGTTAAAGAAAAGGATCGTGTTTATTTGTGTCACTTTAGCGAATTACGAAATCTGCATCATTGTTAACATAATGCTATTTGGCACGCTGGGTTATCCTATGAGCACGATGGCGCCTGTTAGTTTTAAGGAGCCAGGGGCCGTACGCTGCGCCTATGCTGTAGTGTAATCGGGGAGTGGGGGACTCCTGAGAGCGCCCCTCTACGTCCCTGACTCATGGGCGGTCACCTAAGTGTGTTCTACCATATTATTTCGGTTAGTGATTAATGTACACTCAAGGTTTTCATGCGGTAGCGTAGGTAAACCCGGGTCCCGATATTTATGATCCAAGCGCAGGCATTGTTTACATTTAAATAACTCACTTTTTAGAAAAGGTCACGCGTCTAAGAACATATGATTGGTAACGCGTTGGTGAAATCCTTCTAATATATTTCGACAAACTTTCTTCTATCCCTGCGGCAACGCGCGGGGGGCGGGTACGCTAGTATATATATAAATTATTTATTACTTTAAACATAGTATCTTTTATTTTTCGCCTTAGCCAAACAGAAATAACATTTTTTTAAGAAATTATACTTTGATGATTTTCTATTTTAAGGATTACTATGATTTACCAGCAACATTATGCTATGACATAAATTCATTATGTATATTTTGAATTTAGTTTTATAACTAAAAACTAGAAAAAAAACGAGTTCAAGTTGCACACACGGCCAACCCGAAAGAAATGCATGCTGAATTTAGACTTTATAGTGAACTCCAATATAGGCTCATAACACGTTGACACGTAGTTTTTTGATTATGCCTGACATATTCTCCCATATTACAATTAAACAGCAAAGAAGAAGATTAACTTATCTTATGCTCCCCCCTCTTATGCTTCTACAATGATAACAATATCCAGTAGACATATGGTACCGAAATTAGGTGCACGTGCGTTAAATTATATTCTGCCAAATTCGTTTTCTTTTACAAAACGCTGTTCTTCCTTACAGCCAATCAACATGTGAAATATTCTACAGTTGGTTTTGTTGCTTCGGGGAGGCCCTTGGTAGTGGGAGTCTATGGATTGCTTGGATTATCCAAAAGACTGTCTTACACCAATGTTGAAAATAAAGGAAACCATTTTAATCCAAACAAGGGCGTGTTTACCGCCCCTGTTGATGGCGTGTATATAGTGAGTCTACGAATAAGAAGCACAGGAAATAAAGTCTGGATAAAGCACACATCTGGAAATACTGTATCACAACCCGTTTATATTGAGACAAATGAACTCTTAAATGAAGTTTCAAGTACAACTGGGGTTTGGATGACAACTGGAGATGAAATGTTTTCATATAGTAATAGTGATCATTTTGACTGTATACATTTTTCTTGTTTCCTACTAGGAATATAGTTACAGTCAGTATGCTGATGTAATTAAAAGATATCTTTTATTATTTCGGGATTTTTCATAAATGGAAACTTGCTATATTTCCATTAAAAAAACTTCATAAAAAACCTTTTTATAACAAGCTTTAATGTAATAATGCATTAAAAAGGAAAAAATAAATTTTACACTACTATTTAAATAACTATAAAGAAAAGCGGTCCTAGGTGCTTTGACCACAGCGGAGCTTTGGCCATAGGGGGTTTGACCATAGGGGCTTTGTCCACAGCGGGGCTTTGACCACAGATGGGCTTTGACCATAGGGGGTTTGGTTCCCAGAAAAAAGCGCACACAGAAAAAAGCGCAAACAGAAAAAACCACACACAGAAAAAAGCGCAAACAGAAAAAAGCGCAAACGGGAAAAAGCGCAAATAGAAAAAAGCGCAAACAGAAAAATGCGCAACCAGAAAAAAACACAACGAAAAATGGGTAAAAGAGAAATTAAGCACAAAGACCTATATGGAGTAGATGACACATTTATACATGGCTGTAAGGGCTGCTGTGAGAGTGTCGTGTTTGATCACGTGATCTACTACCATTTAAAGCGTACCACTACCATGTGCATTCCCATCACCACGGTACAGGCGATAATCGCTTTACACAATGCTTATTATTTTCTTGGTCAATATTTATTCAACTACTATTCTCGTATAAATAAACATAAAACTATCGACATTACACGAAGTATCTATCACATTCTCCCTAGTCAGAACTACCTAGCTTGCATACCATAACAACCCGTTCCAATGGCAAAACTTCACTCTCTTTCATCCGCGTCATCAAACATGCAAAGTCATATCTCTCGCACCAACATTCATTCGCACCAAAATAACAATTATGTATTTAATATTATTTTACATCATGACGCACCTACCTACCCACATACCCACTTACCCACTTACCCACCTACCAACTTACCCACCTACCCACTTACCCACTTACGCATATACCCACCTAACCACTTACCTGCTTACCCACTTACCCACCTACCCACCTACCCACCTATCCACCTACCCACTTACCCACCTACCCATCTACCTACCTACCCACCTACCCACTTACCCACCTACCCACTTACCCACCTACCCACCTACCCACTTACCCACCTACCCACTTACCCACCTACCCACTTACCCACTTACCCACTTACCCACTTGCCCACTTACCCACTTACCCACCTACCCACCTACCTACCCACCTACCCACTTACCCACTTACCCACTTACCTACCTACCCACTTACCCACTTATGCATATACCCACCTACCCACTTACCCACTTACCCACTTACCCACCTACCCACCTATCCGCCTACCCACTTACCCACCTACCCACTTACCTACCTACCCACCTACCTACCTACCCACCTACCCACCTACCCACTTACCCACTTACCCACTTACCCACCTACCCACATACCCACATACCCACCTACCCACTTACCCACTTACCCACCTATCCACCTTTGTACACTTTGTATATTAAACTTTTCTTTGTTAATTGTTATGATTTCAAAACTTATTTTATAATTTTGCTATTTTTTTTTTATAAACCAACACTGGTAGGTATTCAGTTGCTATATTATTTGCTTAATATATGAAACAACTGTTGTAACCAGTTAATTGAACTTTATAGAAGAAATCTTACAGATGCAGTAAAGTTTAATTCAACTAATGTTTTATTTCTCCTAATTCAATTTTAAATTTTAATAATAGTATAGAAGTATAAATTTGAAGCTATAAAAATTCAAATATATTACCTTAAAAATTTTTTTCATAAAAAACGTTTTAATAACAACCTTTTATGTAATAATGCACTAAAAAGTAGAAAATAAATTATAGACTACTATTTAAATAACTATAAAGAAAAGCGTGGGTGTCTTCCTTAACATTAGTAAATGTATCCAATAGATACTAAAGTGACCCACGCTTTTCTTTATAGTTATTTAAATAGTAGTCTATAATTTATTTTCTACTTTTTAGTGCATTATTACATAAAAGCTTGTTATTAAAACGTTTTTTATTAATTTTTTTTTTCAGTACTTTACATGTTTTATTTACAATAGAGTTACATGACTAAAAACCATTGCGCGCCTACTGAACGTGATGGCGCGCCTACTGAAGGTGATGGCGCAGCTATTGAACGTGATAACGCATGTGGTGTGGTTGGATAGACATGCCTATTGATTCGGTCTAAATTTTAATTAATTCATAAAAAATTAATTAGGCATCCAATTAAGTCAAATTTAATTTCAGATTGCATTGTCTTCCGGTTGAACGGCGTTAAGAATAGAATTGATTTACAGTTTGATGCTATGAAAACAATTGAATGAGTGTGATTGTTTGCTGAATTAATATTATCTCTCTGACCATTCTAATAGGTATACAAATTGACTAACCATATCTCTACACGAGGAGGTCGCAGAAACAGGTGAACTCTACTTTGCGCTACTGACCATCATTTTGGTCTACTACCAAAACTAAAAACAAATTGTTCCTATCTTATCCTGGTCTAACGACCAACTGTTCTTTCCTGTCTATTACGTCATCCTATTCTAACCCCGACAAACCCAACTACACAAGGTCTCATGGTTTGCGCAACAAATAAACCAAATATCAAATACTCTCAACCCCATACTTGCACTATGCTGTAATGGACATACCATTCTTTCATTAGTTTTGTAATATCACATGTTTTTCTCATCCTACTTTATTCCCTCCAATGTCCGAACCAAGTCTTCTAATCTCTTCTCTTGACGTTCGTTTCATTCTGCTGATTCTGTTTTTTTTTCTTTTTCTTAAATATTTTGTCTTGTTTTGTTTTCAACGTCTTGAAATTGGTTGATTTGTGACTATAGTTTGCAATGTCTTTTCCATTCCGATTTATTTTTCTTTTAATCGATTTATTTTTCTTTTCATGAAATACAATATTGTTTTCCACTTTATCAAACCTGGCTAGCTATCGTTGATTATTTCTTGACGGTCAAACTTTATGAATGAAATTTAAGTGCCATTTTTAGCGTGTTAATTATGTGAAATACAAATATTTTCTATTAAATTAATTTAAATTATGTGTTTTAATTTGTTTTTCGAATAAAATAAAAAATTTTAAACAGAAATTATGACTGAAAATGCGAAACTTATATTTTATATGTTATGTAAGAGCAAGAAAGATAGCACCTGTTAACTAGTACAGCAACATTAACCCAAACACGATAGCACATGTTAACTAGTACAGCAACATTAAACCAAACACGATAGCACATGTTAACTAGTACAACAACATTAACACAAACACGATAGCACATGTTAACTAGTACAACAACATTAACACAAACAACAATAGCACATGTTAACTAGTACAGCTACATTAACCCAAACACGATAGCACATGTTAACTAGTACAACAACATTAACACAAACACGATAGCATATGTTAACTAGTACATCTACATTAACCCAAACACGATAGCACATGTTAACTAGTACAGCAACATTAACCCAAACACGATAGCACATGTTAACTAGTACAACAACATTAACACAAACACGATAGCACATGTTAACTAGTACAACAACATTAACACAAACACGATAGCATATGTTAACTAGTACAGCTACATTAACCCAAACACGATAGCACATGTTAACTAGTACAGCAACATTAACCCAAACACGATAGCACATGTTAACTAGTACAACAAAATTAACACAAACATGATAGCATATGTCAACTAGTACAGCAACATTAACCCAAACACGATAGCACATGTTAACTAGTACAACAACATTAACACAAACACGATAGCACATGTTAACTAGTACAACAACATTAACACAAACACGATAGCACATGTTAACTAGTACAACAACATTAACACAGACACGATAGCAAATGTTAACTAGTACAACAACATTAACACAAACACGATAGCACATGTTAACTAGTACAACAACATTAACACAAACACGATAGCACATGTCAACTAGTACAACAACATTAACACAAACAACAATAGCACATGTTAACTAGTACAACAACATTAACACAAACACGATAGCACATGTCAACTAGTACAACAACATTAACACAAACAACAATAGCACATGTTAACTAGTACAACAACATTAACACAAACACGATAGCACATGTTAACTAGTACAACAACATTAACACAAACACGATAGCACATGTTAACTAGTACAACAACATTAACACAAACACGATAGCACATGTTAACTAGTACAACAACATTAACACAAACACGATAGCACATGTTAACTAGTACAACAACATTAACACAAACACGATAGCACATGTTAACTAGTACAACAACATTAACACAAACACGATAGCACATGTTAACTAGTACAACAACATTAACACAAACATGATAGCATATGTCAACTAGTACAGCAACATTAACACAGACACGATAGCAAATGTTAACTAGTACAACAACATTAACACAAACAACAATAGCACATGTTAACTAGTACAACAACATTAACACAGATGGTGTGTAGCATGGCCTGTTACACATAGGACAACACACACGACAAGCACAAATTCAAATGCAAATAGCTAAAAATAATCATACATAATTCACACACATTAATTACATTCATACACATTCATACACATTCATACACATTCTTGGCAACAAACATTTTTTTTTATCTGTTCATATGTAATTACAAGTGTAATATAAGTAACAGTATTGAACAGAATTAAACAATAATAGAAAATATACATTTGATGCGCTAGCATGAATAAAAGAATCAATTTAAAAAACACACACAAATATTACTATAGTCATACCATTGCAAAAAAATACATATTTAGAAATAATTATAACAACAAACTTTTGTCAATTCTTTAAAAACAAGTAGAAAATCATTTCTGGATATAATTATGCGCCACTACTTATAAAACTCTAGAAAAAATTAAAATCATGTATTATTTATGTCAAGGTCTATTTGACATTGCATAGCTAACAGAATACAAGTAACATTGTCGTATGAGATAAACAGAGTCCCATGGAATGTTCTTAAATTTTGTAAAATGCTATAGAATCGCAGACTGTACTGCAGTGGACGAGACGACAGACATAAACAAGATGTTGGATTTGTAATGGTCAAGCATCTTTGTGTAAAGATTTCACATTTTGAAAAAAATGATTAAGTTTGCATATTTTATTATCCACATAAATATACTACGCTCGTATGGTCGCCTAGACGCCAAGAAGGAAACAAGAAAACTCTGTAAAGTTACACTCTTTATAGTCAGTATAAGAATATAATATATCTCCAGCTTGCATCCACAGAACATATGTTGCCGCATCATTTATAGTTTTATCTGCATTAAGAACACAAGACCATGAATACACATCTCCAGATTTGTGAATGACAGAAGCTGCTACTTGACGATCTCCTGTCCGCTTTATTCTAAGACTTACAGCATACAAACCGTCAACAGGGGCGGCAAAAACTCCAGTAACTGGATTAAAATAGTTTCCTCTGTTACGTATGATATGTTTATATGTTACATTAATAAGTCCAGAGGGTTGTCCATCTGAAGCAATAAAACTTACTGTAGAGTGGTTCATTTGTTTACTAGCTGTCAAAAAAAATTAGTTTATTAAACAAAAAATGTAAAATGTAAAATGAATTTTTTAGCAGTTATACAAGGTTTTTATTACATTAAGAACGAAGAAGAAGTTAAAAAATGTATAGATCATCATGAATGGAATAAGTATATTACTACTTCAGGGTGTGGTTTTAAATGAGTTAGTCGGTAGCGTAGTGGCAGATTATGTATTTTAGTGATGATCCGTACATTTATAAATAGTATGCAATAATGAATTGTTTTATGCAATATATACCATCTTTTGAAAATATATCTTCCCGTGTCGTTGTTAAATATATCCAATATTTATCCATCGTTAAGCAAACAGAGTTAAATAACCTTTTTAGCGCAATTCCCATACGGACAATTGCGATTATTAACTCGTCAAGGATGGATGTGTGTCCGATGTGTGTCCGATGTGTGTCCGCAGCTTTAAGTCGCATCTCCTCCTCAACGAAGCAATATCGAGGACTAGTTCCAAAGCAAATATGTTAAGCAAGTTTCGAGGATGATTGCGGGCCAAAAAAATTCCCGGAATTCCTTCCTGGATTTCCCGGAAAAGCCAAAAAAAACGCGAAAAAAAATGCAGTTTTTGGCCCATATCTCGGCAACCAGACCACTTAGCGACTTGAAACATTTACCAATCGATTCCTGCCATAATTTAGAACAATATTGCCGAAGAAAGTTTTCAAAAATATCCTTTCGTTCGGTCACAAAAAATTAATTGAGGAAATTGCGCTTAAATTGTCACTAGACTTTTTATTAACTTGTTTTTTCTCTTAGGTTTTATTTCGTAACTAGCACTGGGTAATCTCTGTCACCTGACTCATACACAGGAACCCAACAATGAGAGGTTGTTGGTCTAGTTGGTCAGATATTTGCTGTTCCTAAGCTAAACACGACAAGTTATCAACAGATTTTGTGTTGTGTGTTTTAAGTTTTCAAAACATGTTTTCTAGTGTTTTCCTAAACTTCAGAAACCCAAATTGTTGTCTATTTTTATCAAGTCGAACATGAGTTAATATTTTATATAAAAATTTTAAGTGAGTAAATTGATATCACAAATGGGGGAAATGACATTACCCCCCCCCCCGGACATATAACATCAATATATTTACCAATTACTTGCAATTTTTCTGAAAGTTCATCCATCTGAAATAGTTACAACATAAACTATCGTTTAATATTCTATTCTGAAAGATAAGCTTACTTAAATTTAGAAGTGTTTTATTTTTATTTTAATGACTTAGGGATTTAGAAATAAAATATGCATTTTATGTAAATACCTAAATTCTACAACATTCTTATATATATATATATATATATATATATATATATATATATATATATATATATATATATATATATATAATATTTATAAAACAAAACGTAAGCTAGAAACCTTCTTAAGATTGGCATCTCTTGAGGTCAATCTGTTCTTCAAGATATCAGCCAGTGACTCCATTGGTTGGATGCGTGTAGACAGTAATTGACACACGGCTCCCAACTAGGTTGAAACAAATAGATAAAGTGTCAACATATATACAATTTAACTTGACGATTTTCTCATTGATAATTTTTTGTTAATGCTATACCTCATTTATGGTGACCTAATTATTAGTAGCCAGAGCACTTTATGAAAGCACTCAATAAATCTACTAAAATAATTCAGTTAAAATCTCATAAACATGTGAAATGACATAAAAAGAGACAAACTATTCACGGAAGTGTTTAAATATTATTCGTCTCCTAAAACTTTCTACCCGATCTCAGAAAAAACTTTGTTACTATTATATTTTTCCCGCGTCTTCGAAATTACTTACATCTTTGATGATACCAAGTATAGTATTTCAACAAATTTTGTAAATAACGATAACGCTAACTTTATAATTAACTAGCTATTACGTTTAATTCATACCTTGACATTACCTACATGTTTTGTAAACTTATTCCGTGTAATATATTAACTAAAAGCTTGATACGTTTAGTAATTTCACATTTAATTATAAGCTACATACCTTTCCATTCATGGATTTAGATTTGTCAGATATTTTCTTGTTCAAATCTTCACACTTGTTCCTTAAGTTATCAGCAGATTTAGTGTTTTGTTCGTCCATCTCCCTAAAAGCTTCTCTTGTTTTCTCCAATAGCTCCATGACGCTGTCCTTGTCTTGTGCTGATAAATCTTGAATGGATAAATCTTTCCCAAACACTTTTGTAGTGAGTAAGTCTACATGTTTCTCCATATTAGAAACACAATTTTTTGTCTCAGCTATTTCTTTAGATAGTGTGTTGAGTTGAATCATATTATTTTCATCTGACGACTTTATTACCTCTAATGTTTTCTCGGCCTCGTCCAATCTCTTCTCTTGCTGCTTGATTCGGCTAATTAGATTTTTATTTTTATTTGATATTTTTTCTTGTTCAGTTTTTACCATTCTGAAATTCTCTTGTTGAATTGATTCATTATCTGCTATTTCTTTTCCCATCTTGGTTTGTGTTTTTTCGATTCGATTAGTGTTTTCTTTTATCAATGAGATATCTCCTACAACTGCATCGAATGTGTTCATCAGTTCCTTATATTGGTCTAAGAAAAGAAAACACTAGACATTAAAAGCTTCATAAAAATATCACTAAACTCAATTCCTTAAATTTGTTTCCGAATATTAAATATAAAGCTATGTTACAGACTACTCCACTTTATCTAATTGCTTAGTCTCTCTCTCTCTCTCTTTATATATATATATATATATATATATATATATATATATATATATATATATATATATATATTTGTTGAAAGGTATAATTTTTAATAGGCGATTTTTGTCATTGAAGACTTTCAAATTTAAATGGTATTTTAATTCATTTTCCTCAGATAGTCGTAGGGCAAGCGTCTGTCTGCACCTCCCATCCCCACCCCACACTTATTTTTGCCATTATTGCCATACCCTTTACTGTACCAATAGAAAAATGTATTTTACCTGTTAAATGCTGGATTTGCTTGTTGAATTGTTGTGTCGATTCTAAACACAGTTGTTTTACTGATTCAATTTGTTGTGTGTCAGACGGAAGCAAATTATGTTTTGTTTCATGTTTTGTTTCGTCAATGTTTTGTGCTATATGAAACAAAGGTAAAGTGGTTTCGAAAATACAACACAAATACGACCGTCAAAATATAATCATTACTATTAGTAAAAATCTATATTATATGTCAAAATAAACACTTTTTTTTAACAAATACTGTGTATAAATACAGTATAAGTAACAGATTAAGCTATATATATATATATATATATATATATATATATATGTATATATAGTTTGCTGTTTTCTCTAAATATTTCTCAATAAACCCTAAAGTGATTTGAATTTTACATTAATTACCTAAAATGTCCGAGGCAACATTTAAGAGCGCTACATTTGCCTGGTCTAGTTGCTGAGATATCTCACTGTAGCTTGTGGAGAGATTTCCTTCTTTATCTTCCAGCCACGTCTTGCTTTTCTCTATTGCCTGTTAAAGACGTGATCTCGTTATGTAAGCATAATGTTTCAGTACTACACTAACATGTATCTACATTCTACATCTACTTCCATTGCATTATGGGTTTCTACCTCTAATATAATGTTTCGTAACTATTTATAATCGAATGTATTAAGATTGAATTATGAACACATATGGAATATACATAGAGCCGATGGTATCGAAACGCTTATATTTAATTTTTGTCGCAGTCGTTTGCACTACACTTGTCACGAAAAGAAACTAAAGATATGCCTAAGCTTATGTATTACACATTTTAATAAAATATAAGCTACGAGTGGACTCGTGGCGTAGCATACGCCACTATTTAGTGACGGATGAAGACTTCCTGAAAGATACAGTTGTCAAAATGGGGTGGGTGGGTACACACTGTTAAGCATCCTGGAGTGCGAGGGAGGGGGCGTTAGGTGGGTTAGAGAGTCGGCGTAATGCGTGGTGTCCCGCATGGTTGGGCGACGTAGAGAATTATATATATATATATATATATATATATATATACATATATATATATATATATATATATATATATATATATATATATATATATGTGTGTGTGTGTGTGTGTGTGTGTGTGTGTGTGTGTGTGTGTGTGTGTGTACTATTTGTTTACGTTAATCGTTTGGTAAAGAATTAAAATGTGAAATATGGAACATCTAATACTATAATGAACACCAGGATTCAGTTTATGCTGAACTAAGTTTGAATGATTTGACTAAGATTCTAATTTCTCTCAGCACAAATATTCAGCAGTAGTAGTTGTAGCAGTAAACTCCAATTCAATTGGTTTCATTACTTAGTAAGTCTAGTCGCAGATTTCAAAAGTATTTCAATCTTACATCTTTCATTGCACTAATGACTGGCTCAACAACAAGTATCTGTTCCTCCAGATATTGTATCTGTTCCGTCACAAACTTGATCTGGAGTCTAGGCCGCATCTAAAATATATGTAAAACGTTGTATAAGATTTTAAAAGTTAACTTTTCAAATCGAATCAAACATGTTTTTTTTTATTGAAAAATAAACAGTTACAAGGGACAAAATGTACTAAAATAGAAACTTTTATTAGAAAAGCTGCAATGCGTATTTTTTATTAATTATTTCGTTCTTTAGGCAGATACACTTGAAAAAAAAATTCATAAAAAACGTTTTAATAACAAGCTTTTATGTAACGATGCACTAAAAAGTAGAAAATAAATTATTGACTACTATTTAAATAACTATTAAGAAAAGCGTGGGTCACTTTAGTATCTATTGGATACCTTTACTAATGTTAAGGAAGACACCCACGCTTTTCTTTATAGTTATTTAAATAGTAGTCTATAATTTATTTTCTACTTTTTAGTGCATCGTTACATAAAAGCTTGTTATTAAAACGTTTTTTATGAATTTTTTTTTCAGTACTTTACATGTTTTATTTACAATAGAGTTACATGACTAAAAACCATTGCGCGCCTACTGAACATCACGTTCAGTAGGCGCGCAATGGTTTTTGAACGCAGCCATTACGTGATGGCGCAGCTATTGAAGGTGATGACGCGTGTGGTGTGGTTGGCTAGACATGCCTACTAATTCGGTCCAAATTTTTATTAATTCATAAAAAATTAATTAGGCATCCAATTAAGTCAAATTTAGTTTCAGATTGCATTGTCTTCGTGTCTTGACCCACGTGCCAACTGTGAATCGTATCGGTCAAGTAGAACTGTCCGAATTTTCACTCCTGCGTTTCCGTTTAGACAGACTGACGACAGACTGACGAGGAAGTGAGTTAAATAAAAGCTTGTAAAAACAGTTCTAGTTTCAATTTCAGACGTATTGTGGTATAATATTTCGGCTTTTGTTTTGAAAATGACTACACTCAATTGGTTTAGTTGTTAAATAAACAAATTATTAAGCATATTAATATAATATGTACCTACTCTGGTTTGTTTTTTTCAATAAATATAAGGAAATGATCAAATGTAGAAGATCATTGAAACTAGACTTTCTTTGAAGAGACACAACAGAACGGATTTTTCCGATATTATGTACTTGTTTATTTTTGGAAAAAAATTATTTCCATTATGACTTAAGTAGAAGAGACCTGTGGTAAGAGTAAAACCTACAGAGAAATTGTTTTATTAAATTAGAACAATCGAAGGTTTAAGTGAGCAGTTCTCGTCTATCTCAATTCTCTTCTCACCTCAACACAGCCTCACCCTATCTCATTTATTTGTTTTCTTTTAGATACCGCTTTCTTTTCAGACAAGACGTGTTTTAATTAGTTCACATTTCACTTCACTGACCTAAAATATCAACAAACATTTTACATTGTGTAGACAACAAATTTGAGCCCTACCACTTTTAAAAAGTACCTTCTTAATAAACAGTTTTACTAAATTAGAACGCACTTTCTGTTCCAATTGAAATAACCCGATGGTCTTAACTTTGGTTCGTGAACTCGATTCACTTCGACATTCTTGAGCCCATTTACTTGTGGACCTGAGTCTAGATCTAGTTACGAAGAGGTAAGGCTGACGTTAGCTAAACTGACCAGACTATCCCGTCAGATAGCCTACCGAGGTGCGAGAACAGGGATAAAACTCGATTACATTTAGAATATTGACCGTCAGATCCCCAAGGCAAATTTTAAAGGTAAAAACGAAACTAATTTGGTCTGAACTATTGGATTGTTCCTATGCTATTCTAGATAAATATAGAAAGTTTGTTAGCAGAGAAACGCAGCCATATTTGTTTTTCTATTCTGAAATTATCATCAACAAAGAAAAGTTAATATTGTGACATACTTAAATATTGTATCCCACAGAAATTTTGCAAAATAAGTTAAATTAGATATGTATTTATCGTATTTTAATTAAGAATAGGCTACACAGTTAAGCCTGACTAATATTTCTCTTACAAATCTCCTTTTATTAACTTGATATTAAACTACGATAGATACTAGTGTTAACAAGACTAGACGCAGCCTACAATAAAATAAAAAGTTTTAATTAAAGATGTCTCATCTGGCTACAAGAATTTTAAAGTCTCAACTCGAACTCTTTGAAGAGTCATATCTACACCTACGGAATAGTTTCAGTAACTTTGAGAAGCAGGTAGATAATAAAACATAATTGGTCATTCTTTTTTATGTGCTGACGTTTACTGAAATAGATAATTATATATTTATAGATAATTATATATATCATAATTATACATACTATATCAATTTTCATTTGATGAACAAATCTTTAATTTTAGTTTTCAGAAGACACAAAATATCAAAATAACATTACTTGACAAAAAAAATTTACAAATTTTACCATTATTAATTATTTTCTTACTTTAATTCAGCATAAGTCATCTAAAACATAAAAACAGATTTGTATATTCATGTTTTTTTTTTAATTTACTAGCATGCTATTATAAGCCTTAAGAGTAGAATAACCTTATATGTGTGTTAGTACTTGTGTTTAAAGCAAAGCCTGAAATATAAAGTGAGAATTAGTAATGTGTTTTACTACAATATTTTTCTTAGATAAAATCAAAGGCGATGGGATGTTTAGACAGCAGTTCTGGCACTACCATGACCGACAGAGATGTCATCGCGATGTTAACAGCAGCACAAAATTCAATACTGGAACATGAGGATGTTTTAACTGGTAGACCTATTTATTCATTTACAGTGTTTTATAACCTTATTTTATCATGTATACATACATTGATATATATATATATATATATATATATATGTATATATATATATATATATATATATATATATATATATATATATATATATATATATAGGCCTATATATATATTTTGCATTCAAATTTGCACAAGAATAGTAAAAGATGTATAATAGTTTTGGTAAATTAGCATTTAAGTAGTTCGATGAATAAACATTTTTTTTCGTGTATTTATTTTTATGGCACGTTAATCAGTTCATATAATTGTTCTTCAACGCTATATATCTAAGTATCATTTTTACAGCATTCAGCAAGATATACCCTCCGAATGAAATGTCAAGAGATAAGACAACGCCAGAATTGAGAACAGAATCTGAATGTACATCTAATGATCATGTGTCAGGTTTGTTTAAATTATCTGTATGCTTCTCTATAAAATATAATGTCTACTTACATGCAGAGGCGTAGCGAGGGGGCGGGGGGTGCGGACCGCACCGCGTGACACCATTTAAGGGGGTTGACACCAAGGCAAAAAATAGCAAAATATATAGAGAAAAACTTGAGTGGGGTGCAAATCGAAAGTTTGAGGGGGGTGCAAATCGAAAACGTGAGGGTGGGGTGCAAATCGAAAATTTGTCCCCGGGAAGGGTCGCTACTCCTCTGTGGGTGACACCATTAAGTGCCGCACCGGGTGACACCCGACCTCGCTACGCCACTGCTTACATGATGTTAGTTTTATTTTAATATACATTTTCTCCTGGTATGTTTGAAAATTATTTCAGATTTATATATATATATATATATATATATATATATATATATATATATATATATATATATATATATATATATATATATATTTATTTATTTATTTATTTATTTATTTTAAAACTGCTTGTATTTAACTTATTTAACCTACAGTTAAAGTAAATTCGGAAATCTTAGGTCGATTGGAATATCTGGAAACAACCCTGACCTCTCTTCAATACGCACAACAAAAGTCTGAAGACGCTCTCTCTGAAATCAAACAATGGAAGGACAACTCTGAAACGGAGATAAAAATTGAGCACTTGTCGAAGAAACAAAAACAGAAATTTAAAAATTTTAGAAAACTAGTGAATGAACATGAAAAGAAAATAGACGAGTTAAATAAAGTGATTGAGAGTTTCAAAGAAAAAGATTTACTGTCAAATAAAACACTAGAGAAATTGTCTCTAGATATGAAAGAATATGATAAGAATTTACTCAAATTAAGTAAAGAGATGGAAGCTAACACAGAGCACACAAATAAGCTAACACAAGAGCTTAAAATCACAGGAAACATGTCGGATAATTTATTTTCTAAGGTAAGCTATTTAGAGCTTATAACAAACTAAACAATGAGAGGTTTTTGTAAAATTATTTTTACAAGGCCAAATATTAATCCCAAATTATCATACTTATTTTACTAGAGTTCCATAAATTTTAATTAACGCTAATTACATTTTGTTATTGTTTAGTTTGCTGTTATATGTAAACTCCTACAACAAAGATTGCAGCCTTTTGACAAACTACTTCACTTGTTACATCAAACTACTGGAAATAGGAAAGAAAATACGAAAAAGTATTCAATAAAAGCCTGTATTTCTTACTCTTATTTAGTAGGGCTGTGTATTTATAGTGAACAATTCGCCTGTATATCTCAACTGATTTAGTACAAATGTGTTGTTATTGTGAACAATCTTCCTGTATATCCCACCCTGATTTAATAGGGGTCATCCGTGTAACACACACAGCCCTCTTTTGTTTCAAATTAATCTTTTCATTCTTTATTGTGTGCTAGTGCATGGTATAAAGAAACGTGAACTTATTGTTATATGTGTAAACAGCACATCATCTGATGTTGATGATTTTCATATAGTCGTGTTTCTTTGTTCCTAGATAGAAACTATTGAGAAAGATGTTTTAAAGTTATCGCATGATTTGGTTGCAAAAGGTGAGTACATAATTATAAATCTACCATGCTCTTAATATGCAACTAGATAGGGAAAAAAACTTTTGTACAAGATTCACTTATAATTTAACTATAATTCCAATATTGATTCCAATATTGATTATTACATAAATTATTGTATTGGTTTCTTAAACTAATTTTTTATAAAAATTATTAAAATAAATTACTGTTTACAGACTATTTATTTATAATGCAGTAACAAATATTTACAACCGTAATTCAAATAAAAATAGTAAGTGGTTATTATCCTGGAACTGTTAAAGTCCCTAAAATTAATTTCTATAAACGTTTGGGAAAATAAATTTGCCTTATCAACTATGAAGCAGCATGATATATATTAATTCATGCCCATATGATCCAATAAATGAAATTGCTTTGAGATAAGAAATGGAAATAGATTTAGCATAATTTACTTAAATTTAATTTTATATACTATACATTTTTTTTAAATATGAAAAAAGGAATGTTTTGATATTACTTTTCAAAAGTCAAGTAACTGTTGCTATTTATTTTATTCAATTATTGCCCTTTTATACACGATTTTATTTAATTTCAACTGCAGTTAAAGTTAAAAATATAAAACTATGACGAAGGTCTTGGTTATGGGACGGAGTGGTCTAGCGGTAGAGAGCTGGACTCGAGTTCAGTAGACCGTCCATGAGTCCACCCAACTCTGATGGGTACCTAACTCACGTAAAGGCGGTTGGGTATAGTGCTGACCACACTATCTCTTCATATGCCGAGGTCACAGAAACAAGTGAACTCTACTTATCCCATAGACCGTCAGAATTGAAAGGGAAAATTTACTTAAGGTCTTGATTATGTTGATTGTGTGCGCGGGACTAGAAGTGTGTGCATAATGTAAAGTTAAGGTCAGGGGTTGAGGTAAGGTCAGGGGTTTGGATATTTGACAAAATATTCAAGTGAACAATCGTTAATGACTTTGTTGTGTATAAATAGTGCAATGACCAGATCATTTTCTTTCAAATTGTAGCCAATCAGCCGGTGCAACATTCTACAATAGGCTTTATGGCTTTAGATGGTCAAGTGATCGTTTTATATGGTGTAATATCTTACAAACGTTTAGAGATGAATATAGGAAACAATTTTAATCAAAACAATGGAAGGTTTACCTCCCCTGTTAATGGTCTGTATATTGTAAGTCTTTCTGTGGAACAAACAGGAGATCAAGCTCTAACAGTAAGAGTGATGCACATTTCTGGTGATCAGGTATTAAGTCACGGTACTGTAGCGACAATTGATAAAAATGCTGATCAGATGGGAACCTATATGCTTTGGATGAAGGCAGGCGATTATCTATATTCGTGGGC